TGAGCCGGACGCCTGCAGCCCTGCCAGCGACGCGTTGGGAGGGTTGCTCCATTCAGTAGCATGCAAAGCTTTCGTGGTGAAACATCAGCCTGACGAGAATAGGGGTGGACCTAAATTAATCCTCTCCCTGTACTTGATCTTACTGCTTTTAACCCCCCTGGGTCCCGGGAAGCCAGTCCAGTGTCAGGTCCAATGTGCGAAGTTGATCTCATTTCTGCATGATGGTTCGTAATAAAATGCAGCTTGAAACCTCTTTAAATCCTGCTTGTGATAGCAACAGAGCCGGTGCAGGGGCTCGTTAAACAGCCCCGTCGGAGGGAACAGGAGGGGAGATGCTCAAGCTAAATTTGGAGCTCATTGGGCAACCGGGCTTTTCCTTCACCACCATTAGCACTGACATGTGAGTGTCCCAGATCTGGAGTCACCCCTCAATTTTTAGACTGTGTCCATCTCTGTCTAGCAAGGGACAAGGTTAATAAAATCAGTGCAGAGTTGTCCCCTCGCCGAAAGGGGAGGCTGTTGTCCCTGCCTCAGCAGCGGGCACGTGGGGCACGGGCAGGCAAGCGGCTGGTTGCCTTCGCTGTGTGTTCATCCTCACGCAGGGCCTTTCCTTTGGGGACCGCAGGGCGGTATGGACGTCCCGGGCTCATTTTAAACGTGCTGGCTAGCCCCACCGCTTGGGAGAGGCTCTGCAGATCTTCACCCTATGATTTCTGCGCTGCCACTTGGTTCCAGCCTGGCTTTTCAGGCTCTCGGTGGCGACACAGCTAACGGACAAGGCAGGGCTACCCAGGACCCTTCTTGTAGTGAATTCTTCTCCCCTGGAAAATGCAGATTAACTGATGGCAAACTTTTTATCAGAACACACTGCTTTGGAAGAGCCTTCCAGTAAAACGAAGGGAGGGCTCCGGAGGAACCCTTCCTGCTACACAGGATCGTAAAGCTGCCTGCCAGGCAAGTTTCCCTTGGAAAATGCCCTCTGTTCGTGCCAGCGTACCCACCCGGCCCCATGGTCTGCAGCTTTGCAGCAGCCCTATCGTATGGATTAACCCAGAAATTTTAAGTCTTGTAGATCTGTCACATCTCATGGTGCAGGGGGTCCTGCATCCAGGCAGCCCTGGCCTTGCAGGTGGCCAAGCCAAGCAGCTCCCTGGCTGTCTCTAGCTCCCACGTTGGGTCTGGCAGCATCAGGGTCTCTGGTCCGTGCCAGCACAGCCTTAGGTCTTTGGCAACACCAGCAGCTGGTGACAGGGACGTGTTTCGCTGCTGCTTTGCACTGACCGGCGGAGATGAGTCTGGCCGGGCAGCTTCCTGCGCTGCTAGCCGTGCCCGAGTCTTGCCTGCTTGCAGCAGATGCTGGGGCCGCAGAGAGCGCGTGGTGCTTTGGAAGTGTGTCTGAAACAAATATTTCAATTTACATTTTGCGGAAAAATTGCACTATTACAAAAATTTGGTTTTCATTTCTGAATGTGAACTAAAGCCAAATTCGCAACGTTCCGGTGCCACCGACATGGCGAGCTTTGACCACCCGCTATCAACCGAAGGAAAACCCGCTTGTACGAAGCCGGTGCCGTTACTTTTCAGCTCCATCCCACCTTAACTATCTGAAGAATAACACTCAAGCGCAGAGGTCAGTGGGGGGAAAAAAAAGCCGCTCACGCTGGCCAGCTGAGCTGATAGCGTAGCCCATACATGGGTTTGGAATGAGGGGCACCGGGCTCGCAGCCTCCCCAGGGCCAAGAAATACACAGCTAAAATGGGCAGCTCTGGGATGAGTAACGCACAAACATGGTCCAGGGCGTTGCAACTGTTCAAGCGCTCTCAGTGTGTTGGGTAAGTGAGTATCTGTCTCCATGGCATCAAAACAGCACGGAGCTGACGCCGCGTGCCTTTGGCCGTTCCCTGGCTCCAGTGCCCGGCCGGTGTGAGCAGGGCTGGCTGCCAGCCACAGCGCTCCCTGGCTCTAACGCGCAGGCGCACAGTGGCGTCCCACTTCGCCCAAGGTGTTGGGACACTCTGTCCTTGTCCAGCAGCCTCTTGAGGACACATCATTGGCACGGGCTAGCCTGTACAGACCAACGCTGTTTAAAATGGGGTACGCAGCTAGACTCTCCAAGCGGGGAAGGGAGGACACCAGCAACTGCTTTACCTCGCATGGCTACTGAAACCAAAGGCAGAACAATTTATTATTCTGCTATTAAATATGCAAATCGAGTATGTTAACCCTGAAATTATGCCAATTAGCTATGTCCTATTCCCTCAGTAAGTGTGATCTTGTGATGTCCTGCCAAGGATACTTGACCGGCTAGGGTCGAGGAGACTTTGGCTGAGGGCTTGGAAGGCGATTTTCTGGTTTGCCTAGAGACTGCTTGGAATCGGGCAACTGGCCCTCTGGGCAACTGATGGTCTCCGCATTTTATTTGGAGATAGCGAGTATGGGGAACACCTCGTGTCCTGTAGTCACAGCCTTTCACTGGAAACCCAACATTCTGTCATTAGACTCCCCGGGTAGAGCAGTGCCTGCTGGAAGTGGTGCTGGTGAACAGGTCCTCAGACTCCTCTGCAGAAGTGCAGCGAGTGGGCAAAGACGAGGCTTCTTGGAAGGCATTGCTGCCGCCATCCAGATACAACCTGAAACCACTCCTGATGGTCAGGAGGAGAACTTGGCTCTCTGATATCTCCCCTGAAGATTACTCTGAGTAAAATGCCCTCTTACACCACCCTCACGCCTTCTGTGTCACTGGTACTCCTCACCACGTTGTACCACAGGGGAGACTCGTTTGGGGATGGCCAAAGCAATTGCTTTGCCTACAGTGAGGTTGCTATGTGTCGTAGGATTCTTTGGCACAGGAGATACGATCACGTGCAAGGTTTTATCGTGATGCTGTTCAAGATGTTACTGCAATGCCCCTGGCACCAAGACGCATCCGATCTCCCTGCATGCCTACTGTATTTATTCCAGTGACCTTTGCAGCTGACGGCCTTGCCGGCATTTTCCACCAGGCAGCCACACCCCTCCTTTCTTTCCACCCCAACATATTGCATGACTGGCGCTTTACTGTGCTATGTTTTGTAGGAACATTTTATCCTATTAAGGCACCTCTGGAAGCCAGATGTTCTGTTTTAGTAGGGACTCTTTTTTTTTTTTTTTTTTTTTTTTTAAAACAAACATTTTGAGCTGATGTTATTTTTATTTAGTTCCCTCTGTGAAACTTCCAAAGACAGATCTTTGACTGGCAAGGTCATATCAGGGGATGAGGGAGAAATTGCCGTCCATCTGTCACTGTCTGCATGCACACTCATACATGAGGAATCCACTTGGAGAGCAAAGCTGAGTATTCGTACGTTAGGAAATTGCTTTATTAAACTGCGCTGGCAGTCCCACTCCAACTTTGAGTTACGTGATCATACACGCTTTTTCATGAGGTTGTCTGTGCTTTGGAGGGCTCTGGTGGACCTGGTCAGGCAATGAATCGGGAGTCTGCACTGTCGAAGGCTCCTGCCTGTAGGATTCCCCGGTCTTTTGTCACAGAAGTCAGAAGGCGCGCTGCAAACGAAGTGGGACGTGAGGGGAGCCCGCCGTCCCTCTGCCACAGATTTCCTTTCTGGAGTGTGGTAAAATGCTTCCACCAACTTTTGAAGTGGTTGCTAATGCCCTGTTCTGAATTTTTGGGATTCCTCACGTGAATCCCTGGAGACAGACTCGTGGCCGTGCTAAGCCCCTGTAGCTCCAGACAGAGTGAGCAGGAGCGGTGCTTCCAGCCAGCGCCCCCAGCCAACCTTTCTGTCTGCTCAGGTCCAACGTGCTGAACACCGGGCTCCCAGACTCACTGTGATCACGTTGGTTTTGGCCTTTCCATCAGTGGAACGAGGGTAATGCCTCCCTCTGACCTCCTAGGAACGTCACGTTAATGTGGTTACACGGCACCGAGCTGTAGCGGTGTCGTGTACTCTGAGATGGGGCTCAGAGCTCGCGTGCAACAGATATTTCTGCATTCAGCACAGAGTTTGAAAGGTATACAGTCAATAAAAGGGACACACTTTCTCCCTAGGACCTCTCCTCAACCAGCAGTCCTGGTTTCTTTTATTCTTAGGATATTCCATATTTTGGTACGTTCAGAAGTCAAAAGATCAGTAATTCTCAGCATACTCTAAAATTCCTGGTACTTAGAGCTCTAATACAGGCAAAGGCTGAAATTAGAAGGGAGCCGTGGGACAGACTTTTCCCATGCTTACTGAGCCAGAGCCATTGATGCAGGGATTTCTCTCCCAGGCTAAAATCTGTCATCGTTCTCTGGCACAAAATTCATTTAGCAAATAAAAGGAGACCTGTGACCTTCGTGTGTGTACATTGACTTGGGCTAACTTGCAAGCCCCACCAGTACAGTCACCTCATTTCTGTTTCATACAAGGCTCAGTGGCTGTTAAAAACGATAGAAGTATTTTGAGGTTACATTACCCGGAGAGGGACCTCGTAACAGCCTGTTTGCTGAATCTGCAAATCATTGGGAAATTAAGATAGAGAAAAATCTACTAAGTAACCTCACCTGTTCCTTCAGCCCCTAAGGTGTGGCTCCCTACAATATTATATGCTGTTCATAGCTTTGTCCAGTCCCCTTGTAAATTGGATTTCTATACCTCGCCTTAAGAAACTATTCCATGGTATGAGGGCTAGGAAGTTTCTCCTGGCCTTCATTCGGCCTGTGGTTTGTTTTTTTTTTTTTCTCTGCTTAATTTCATGTCGTTACTTTGAATTTTGGCTGTGAAAACTGGAAGCATTTCCAGTTAGGAAAGGTTTAAGTGTCCCGCACAAATGCGAGAGCTGACAAGTGTTTTGGCAATAAGGAAGGGGAGGGAGGTGTCTGAAAGCACAGGTCATGGCCCTCGGTGCTGGGATTTCGGGAGTGTTAACTGGGTGAAAAGAGGACTTGCAGAGTGCAACGAGCAGATCCGCTGCCAAGGTGGCCAGGCTAACCGGTGTGTCTTTTGTCTTGCAGAAGATGAAGCCCATAGTCCAAAGAAGACGATCTACCCCTTCTGCCATTACTAAAGCTCTTGGCAAGTCCAAGTGCCATTCCAGGTAGAGGAAATGCCTTTCTGTCTCCTTTTTCCACCTTTCTGCCTATACAGACCAAAATCAAACTGGTTTCCAAGTTCATTGAACGATGTGAAGGGCAATTTGTTTGTGGATGGGTATGGAAGAGTTTCTTTTGTACTGGAATGATACCGTGCTCATGCGGAGGCCCTGCTTCCCAGGCAGAGGCTGGACATTCGCCGTGCTGGCGCTGCAGGCGAGGTCCCGAGAGTGGGGCCGGGGCTGGCTGGCAGAGCACCCTTCCACCGTCCCTTGCGGAGCCGTTCCTGGCTGTCGGGGCACGACACGCTCTGTACCGGCCAAGCGGGACCGGGCGGCAGAGCCTCCGTCTCTTCCTGACCGCTCTCCTGGCTTTTCTCTCATGTGCCCTGGCCCCCATCTAAGTTCCCCCTCGACTGAAATACCAAGCGCTCGCCACAAGCCGAGCTCCCTGGTCCCCTAGCGGGAGCTGAGCACTGCTCAGCACCACCCCCTCCTCCTCCCGCAGCGCCGTGTAACTGCCAGGCATGGATAAGGGGATGCCACCCGCCTTTCGGCCTTGCTTGGGTAGCAGCCTTATAAATAATATCTCCTGAGTCATTTGCTTAGTTTGATTTTTTTTTTCCTGTGTAAGAAGGAGATGATAAAGCTGAACTGATTGACATTTTGATCTGGACCAGCCCTCCTGACGAATGCCCCCTTTGTATCACACCATAGGTAACAGTGCTCTTCTGAAGCAAGCGTGTGGAGTCAGTCTCATAGGATCATTTGAAATAAAGGGCAGGACTGATTTTCGTTCGGTTGTCTTCTGACCGACTTACGTGGCTTCTTTGTCACCCCCCCCTCTTCTAAATTGCACTAAAAAAAGTAGAGAGAAACAAATTCTTGACTTTATTTGGCTGGAGAACATCGTTGCGAGGGAGGGAAGCTTTAGACGTTTCCCGTGATGGATTGCTATGAAGGGAGCTGGTTCTATGCCATCTTTGCTTAGGCCACCAGAGTATTAGTGGGACTCTTTTGCTATCCTGCCGTCGTGTTTACAAAGCTGCGTAACTCTTCCAGCTTTAGGGAATCCACTGCGGAGCTCGTGTGATGGTGAGGCTCCCACTGCTCGACCGGCGCACGTAGAAAGCTTTAAATACCAAGTTTAAAGGTGTTTGAGCTTCTCATTGCAGGGGCAACAGATGCATAAGCCGAGAATTCACTTGCCAGTGGCTGCAGAGTGGCGAGGAGGGAAGAGGGAATTTCTGCTTGCAGGAGTGCGGGTGTCCCTGTCACCAGGGGACCACGTTAGAAAAGCAGCTAATGGCCAGCGTTATCCTTGCTCCCAGGAAGTCAGAGGGGCCCAGTTACGAGGCCAGTGGAAACGGAGTTGGGCTAACAGTGTCAAAAATACTTCTCTTAAAGCCCACGTGTGTTTTCATGCCAGCGGGACCTGTGGTCGTGCCAGCACTGCCGGCAGCAGCCCGCAGCAGCGCCGAGAAGGTGCTCTGGGAGGGTGCTGAGGGGCAAGCGGGGAGATGAGCGCCTGGTGGAGCTGGAGAAAGGAGCTGGTTTGGTCCCGACGATGGCTTCTTGACTGCAGTCAACATGCAAAAACCCTCAGGGTGTTTTGGAAATGGTCAGCACCTACATCAATCTCAGTGGAAACAAGGTGCTGGACTGCAGCCAGGCAAACCGGAATCAGGTGGCTGGCGTTGCCATTAGATGAGTACATGCAGCTCATTTTTTCTTTGTGCTGCAGCCCTTGCCTCGACAAGCAGTTCAGTACGGACAGAAAACAGGGGCAGAGACGGCAGTCCCGCCCCACGGCAGCCCAAGCAGTGCCACGAGCCAGCGGCTGCCATGGGGTTTCCGTGTCCTTTTCAAGCTATACGTCACACACATGTGCAGGAGATAAGTGTTTTACCTGAGTGAGAAATGGCTCAAAAATGGATATTTAAGCGGCTTAACCTCCCCAGATTTGGTATAGGCATTTAGGCAGTTTTCTGTTTGTCTGAGGCTGGTAAAATTAATGGGGCAGAGGCAGGCAAATGCAGTCATAACAGAGCAATGTGGGCAGCGCTGGGAGCAGCGCGGGGCTATCGAGCTGATCCAAAAGAGTCCAATCACAAACCCTTGTGAGAAAAGCTGCTGACAAAGTCTTCTTTCTTCCTCCTCCAGGGAAACTACCCTTTCCTCTTCCCATTCAGAAAATGGGCTGCCCAGTGGGTTGTTCAGCAGCCCAGGCTCCACTTTCATCCTGGATGAGCGAGTACAGCTAACCGTGGGCCTGCAGACCCAGGAAAGACATTTGATCTTGTTCAGTGATGTGCTGGTCATCGCCAAGTCCAAGTAAGAGGAATTTGCACTCGCTCCTCCCCAGGACGTGCTGTCAGAGCTAGGCTCTGAGCTACCTGCGGAGCAGGCATCAAAACAACTCCTCCTTACAAATGTGGATCTAAAATCTGGCATCTCCCCCTTCCGCCTCCAGACATTCCTCCTGGTATTAATGTTTCCCTCCATTTTCCTGAAGGAAAAGGTTGCCGAATTGGTTTTGCCCTTTCCCTTATGTGGCTTCTTGAAGAAATAGCATGAGGGCAAGAAGCAGTAAGGACAAAAAACTGACTCCTGCTCTGGCTATTTCTGCCACACATAAATTAAGAGCTTAGGTGACTTCAGTTATTACTGAAGACAATAATTAGCCTAAATCACCGTCTACCTGCACGTGGCTTTAGTGAATCACGTTGCTCTAAGCCACAGCTGCCCCACTGCAGCCACCAACCCCAAAATCCACTTGCAAAACTTTCTTATAGTGCCTCCACATGCCCAGACATTTGGTTGGGGGGGCTTGTTGCTGTCACTGCATCTGCGTGACTGGAAGGTGGCAGGACCAGGCTCTGGAGGTCTAGATGTTAGGATCTGGCCTAAGAAACCCATAATTTGAATTGCAGATCCTCCTCCAGCCTGAAGCTGAAGAAGCAAGTGCATCTGAGTGAAGTATGGACCGGCACCTGCCTCAGCGAAGTGACAGAGAAGAAGATGGGTCCCGAGAACTCGTTTGTCATCGGCTGGCCAACCATCAACTACGTTGTCACCTTCAGGTATCACCCATCAGACACCAGACCTCCCCCTGCAGCCTGGCAGCCGCCCAGGTCTCCCATGCGTCAAGCGAGACAGTGACTGAGGCTATAGGGCCCTGAACTCTGCAGCGCTTCTCCCCATTGAGTAGAGGACTTCCACTCACATTAGGCAGCGTGGTAGAAACTCAGATGCTGGGAGACAGTCATCTTAGAAAGGTATCTGCAGGTTGGTCTCTGAGAGCCTTTTAGAGGACCAACCCTTGCAGGTGTTGTCATAGCAAGGGCTAACCCTGCTGCAGAGCATCCTGGAACATCGCAGCCAAATCCGCCACAGCAAACCAGCTTGTGCCATCATATAACTTACAAGCCTGTTGCTTCAGCACCTGCCAGCAGCCATTTCTGGAGGAGATTAGCCCTCGTTTGAGAATCTTCCGTTACGAAGGACAGGTTAGTTAGGTCAGTGAAAAACGCCACATGGCCTTGTGCCAGGATTAAGTACTTTATCCACTCCTAGTGTGGCGTGGACAGCTCCTGAGCAAACCTTCCTCCTGCAGTTGTCCGCCAGGGTGTCCCAAGCCTGCAGCGACAGCCTCTAAAGATGGAAAGGTTCTTCAAGATGGGTCTGCACAAGCAGCCCTTGCTAAGCCCAAAACCAGAAATGTAGGGGAGCATGGACCAGGCTAGAGAGTAGTTTATTCACCAAAAAACAAGTGACCTTTTTATTGCCTGGAGCTCAGCCTAGCCTGGCTAAAATGCATCTAGAGCTGGTACATCCCCAGGGACCTCAGGTCACTGCTGGCTCCAGCATCTCTGCTTCATACTCCCCTTGGCAAAGCAGAGAGGTCAGCAGCCTTCAAGGGCTGCTCTGTCCTCAGGGGTTCTGCTGGCACAGCGAGGAAGGGCTGATGTGGCCCGATGCGTTTCCTTCTGTGGCGCAGCTGCCTTGGCGGAAAAAGAAACGGGACCCATACCGTGGTTTCATACGTGCTGCCGCACCATTTCCAAGGGTCGGGATGGTCTCTCCCGGGTGATGCATTCCCAGCCTTAGGACGCATGCTCTGCCATGCAAGCTGCCGCTCGTGTCCTTGTCCAAATTCAACAGCAGTTCCATTTCCTTCACGTCACTGAGACCTGGGCAACCCGTGTTGGCAGCAGAAGCTTCTAGGGACGGCAGACACTGGGAAGGAAATAATAGGAGAAAGAAAATAGCAATTAAAGGTCACTGCAAAAATAAGAAAGGCCCACAAGATGAGTTAATCCCAACATCACGGAAAGATATTCGTCCCTTATCTGAACACTCGCCAGCCTGGGCAGGAAACGTAGCCCGGTTTGTTGCTGGGATTTTTTTGTTATTATTATTTTTTTTATTTGTTAAAATAGGACAGAAACAGGAAAGGACTGTGCTTTTGTTCCAGGGCTTTGCAGGAAGGAACTTTGACTTACAGCTATATATAAATGACACTGGGTAGAGTTTCCAAAGGCTGTTACCCACTCAGCACTTGTTTGATGATCTGCCTCCCTTTTTGTCTTCAGCTCAGCTGACGTGAAGGAACGGTGGCTGTCAGCATTACTCTGGTAAGTGACGTGCCTTTCGCCCTCCTCTCTAGTGGTTCCTCTGCGGTCCTCAGGGACATTTGTCATGCTAGGTGTCCAACTGCCCTCTGACTTTGAGCACCTTAAGTGTCTAGCTGGAAGGTGTTACGCTGGACGCATCTCTGCGTTGCACTACTGTCGTGTGGGGTTTTGCGAGTCTGGGGCCTCAAAGAAAGATAAAGAAGCCAGTAAGGGCATGGGACCACACTTAGGAACATTGCACGTTATTGCTACTGTCGTAATTAATCTGTATTTATTATAGTGCCGAGGAGCAGGTCCCTTGGACCCCTTGGATCCAAACCTTAGGGTCCTTCTCAAGTTTGTTTGGGAAATTATATTCCCACCCCTTTTCTTTGACTTTCAGGCATATCAGTGAGGTAAAACAGAATGAATATCTGAAGAATCTAACCCTTCAGATCTGTGTGCTGGATGCTGACAACTGCTCTTCTGTAAGTAAAGCCAAGAACCTGCTCATCAGACCAGCACAAACTGTGACGTAGCCAGACCCTTACCAAAGAACAGTTAATTCTTAAGATTATTCTTGGCCTCTGGCTTCTCTCCTCTTTTCCTTCTGCTTCACTTCATAACCGGTGATGGTTTGTGGTTGAGTGCCCAGTCATTCCTATTTTCAGTGCAATAAGTTGACGATATTGATGATGAGAGAGTGGCGTGTTCTCCAGAATTAATTTAGGGGAACGTGTCCCAGTCTCTTCATATTAATAACATACGTTCCTAGGCTTCATGCCAAGCTTGATGGGTCACATTTACGTCCTGGGGACTCTTCCCTCGGAGAGCGACTCCAGACACTCGTGGTTTATTAGCGTTGTGCCGCATTCACCCTTTGGAGCAACAGTGGCACTGCTGTCACTCAGATGCTGGTGTGATCAAATATGACATCTGAACACCACCCGGTTTCTACTGTGCGAACTCTTTGCGTGGAATAATAAACCTGTGATAGAAGAAGTAGCGGAGAACAGTTTTCACGATGTATAGCCATCACCCTTAACAATGATTCCAGGGTAGTTCAAATTAATACAACTCTTGTAAGCAAAAGTCAATAGACAGAGGAGCGGCATTTTCCCCAGATTTTAAAGCTACAAGAAACTGCAACCAAACTGCATGCCGCCCTCGCAGTGTCCTGTGTTTTCTGTTTTCCTTTCTAGACTACCGCTGTCAATGTGTCCAATGTGGAAACTGCGGAGAGTGTGATGAAGAAGACCCTTCTCCAGCTCGGACTTCCTGTAAGTGGCCGTTGCACAGTCTGCCAGATCTTAGCTCAGGGGGCTGGTGGTGTCTGGTTTGCAGGACCATGCAGATGTGGAGAAGTCTAGCTTTGCTGTAGCTAACCAGTAAGGCATTAATACTCTCTGCACTACAAGATGAAGCAATCTGTTTTTGTGGGTGCCAAGTATTAGAAACGCAGACATGCTTACATGCCTACATTAAATTCAAACCTTGTACAATGAAGTCCTTTGGATTTCAGAGGACTTCAGTGCTTGCAATCCAGCATTGGGATTGAGCCAAGCTTCTCAAAGGATTGTGAATATAGCCATGAAATACTGAACAAACCAGTGATGATATCAGATGAGCCTTGCCCATTGCAGCGCTCCAGCCTTGCCCATTACAGTGTTTAACAGGTAGCTTTGATGGTGTTCCAGTAGTTTAATACCAAGGAAGGTTGTGGAACACGTTGCTGAAATAGGCCAGCAAACCATCATGTGGGTTTACATCCTTCTGGCTCTCAGTCTTTTCTTCTCCCGAACCTCTCCCGTTCCACTCCGTGTCAGATAAACTGATCCAGAGCGCCATCCCTCCCAGCCACGTGACTCTCCTGGAGGTGGCCATGCACGTCTGGCTTCTGGGCCTGTTCAGCCCTTATCTCCATCTGTGGAGTGGAGTGCAGCCTCGTGGACCCCCACCCTGGCCCCCATCACCTGATATTTTTCTTTTCTGTGTTCCTCATCCACCAGGACAAGACAAGTGAACACCACCTCTGGGTGATCTCGGGAAAAGATGACCCTGCTTACCCTCTCATCGGTAAGAGCTCTCCCATTTTCCCTCAACTCTAGCACCATGGGAACAAGTGATAAATGGTACTGGTGTGCGTGGCAGAGAAACACCTCAAACATTCCACTCTTCACTTAAAAAAGCAATTGCAGGGGGACTGTTGGTGATGCGAGGTGTGACATTAAGCTGATGTCAGGTGGCACTTGGCTTTTATGGGCTCAGGATCCACATTTAGCCAACACATGGTGACATACTGACAGCGTGTGCTTGCACTAAGGAGCCCCCCATTTCACTCCAGCCAGAGAGGAAGCAAGGAAGTACGCTGATTTACCCAGCACCTAAGCCAAAGCTGCTGGGTGCACTTGAACTGCTGCTCGCTTCTCTGACAGATGTCCCCATGGGGCAGCCATTGCTCAGGCTGCTTTGCCCTATGGCGCACTGCTTCAGCCACGCCAAACGAGCGATCTCTGCGTTACCTCTGCACCGCGTTATCAGTGATAACCTGATAGATACACCCCCAGGCTCTCCAAGGAAGTCTACGCAGGTTGGTTTATTAAAGAGATCTTGCTCCAGAGGCCGCGTTGTTGTAGTAAGACTGTATTTCTAGGGCTCATTAGACTGCACATGTTTCTTTGTTGGTGTTTATTGGTGTTTTCCAAGTCATCATGGCACATGCTTACCTTTTGTATCCATCCAATAGACACTAGACTGCCATAGTAAGCTAACTCCTGCACAGAGCCATGCTGTAAGCATTGTTATTTTGTTATTAACAGTATTTTGTTAGCCTATTAACGACTTAAACCCAGTTAGTAGTGCTTTGTTGCATAATGGTCTAGAGAGCTCCTGATGAAGAGTGGCTGGCCAGGTTTAGCTGGATGAACTTATTTGTAAAGCGATGACCATCTATGCATAAATGTGCCTTGGCCTCTTTAGTCCACAGGTGGAGGTTGTGAGCAGCATTGCTTAGAGGCCCAGCTTCATGGGGGCCATTGGATGTGGGTGCTTCCTCCTGCCCAGATTTTTGGAGTTGTTGCCACATAGCTCTGCATCTTCACTTGGTCTTTACATGCCTCTTTGCTCAACAGGGCACGAGCATCCTTTCAGCATCGCATTGAACTGTCTCCGGGACTCTGCTGACCAGCAACAAGGAACCAACAATAACACCCTCCTGGCTGATGGGACAGAGACTTCCTTCCTCGATCAGCTCCCAAAGGAAAAACAGTGTCAGTTTGTCCTGAAACCCAGGCTCCAAGCTCCAGTGCAGCTGAGGAGAGGTAGGGGCGGCAGGAGAGCATTATGACCAGGCAGAGACTTTGCTGCTTTCCATGGCAGTGCCAAACTCTTCCTAGCATCGTACACGTATTCCAGAGAAGCCGTCATGCCCGAGTGTATGCAAAGAGGAAGAGATTGCAAGGGGGCTAAATTTGTCTGTGCAGATGTTCAGAATTACCTTTCAATCCTTGATTAGCTTTCAGCTGCAAGCCATGCTTACCTGGCACAGAGAGGAAGGGTCCCTGAAGAACAGTCATTGAGTAAAAGCAGTGCTGATGGTTGAGAGATGAACAAGTAGTTTCCCTGCTGTGTTTTATCTGACCATCCCCACTAAGAGTGTAGTTACTAAACGCAACGGTAGAAGGGCCGTGCTTTGCTGGGCGCTCGCCGCCGCTGCAGACGGCTCTCTGGCCGGTAGGAAGGGCAGGCGGGTCAGTAACGAAGGTCTGTCCGTTCTTTCAGAGTCACTGCAGAAACACACCAAGCGGAAGAAGTCCTTGATTGACTGGGCCCTGCGCCGCAGCACCAGCACCCCCACGGGCAGCCCTCCCTCCCAGTCTCCCACCACCCCGCGGAAGCTCTTCGGCCTGTCTCTGTCCTCTGTCTGTCCTGACGGGATCCTTCCCAAGCCAATCATGGTAAGGAGCAGCCTAGACTGTTTGTCCTGACACAAACTTGATGTGTTTAGCCCAGAATTTAAAGTTGCTTGTGGTATTTGTGAGGAATGGGTGTGGAAGACGACCAGCATTTGCCTGTGATTCAGATCTAGCTCAGTAGCGGGTGGAAGCATCCCTCTCCTGTGTGGTCCGTATCCCTTTGTGCGCAGATGTCCGTCCTGCTCCAGCGGGTCTCTCCAGCCAGGTCGTCACAAGCTGACAAGGGGCAATGTCAGTGGACGCTGCCGTGCTACATATCCTAGAGCTCATTCACTATAAGACTCCACTGGGCTCGCACTTGCCACAGGATAAGTGTACCCACATGAACTGTAGCTGCAACCTAGCTGACAGGCTCTTGTCCCCGCTTAAATGATGATAAATCTCTCCTATGTCTGTCCTCTTCCTGGTACTGACGAGGTCTTATGCTAATTATGTTATAATATGTGAGGTATAATACACACAAACAACAGGGCAAAGTGCTAGGCTCCTAAGCACAACTGGGCTTTCTCCTAGGACATGCTGCTCCTGCTGTACCACGAAGGTCCCTCTACTAGGGGCATTTTCAGACGTTCTGCCAATGCCAAGACTTGCAAGGAGCTGAAAGAGAAGCTGAACTCTGGAGACGATGTCCAGGTGGACGGCGAGTCGGTCTTTGTGGCTGCAGCTGTCATCACGGTACGTGCGCCGAGTGACTCGGTGGTCTGAGCAAATCACACCTTCCTTGAGGAAGCCACGTCGGTCTTTATGGGTAGGGAAGGTTGGGGGGAGCACAAAGCATTTTCCAGCAAGGCAAATTCTCACCTGAAGGCTTGGTCCATCAGAGTGCTCGGAGGTGTCTGCCTGACCCAGCGGAGCTTGTTTTCACACGCAGATACGTGCAGTGGCCCTCGGGCTGGTGTTCCGTTCTGCACCTCCCTGTACAAAGCCTCCACAGGCGACACAGCAGCGCGTACCTCCAGGGTGACGGTGGTATCTGCACCGTGCCCAATAACACGCCGGAGTCTGGCTTCGGCAGTTCCGATGCCGCGCTGGCACAGGCACGACGCCCTTTGGTGACCGCAGCACGGGCTCTCTCTGTCCTTTCTGGACACACAGATGGGACTGCAGGGAGATGCGGGAGGACTGGTGCCATTTAAGCGCAACTGCCCTGCAAACCCCCCCAAACAAGAGAGGCCATGCTTAAAGGAGCTGGCCTGGTTCCTCTAGGCCCTGAGCTGGCACCCTCTAATCAGCCAGCAAGCCAGAGGGAAAGTGGCTGCCGAATCCAAGTGGAGGGGTTGTGGTGGGAGAGGGCTTGCAATAAGACCCAAGGTTTAGTAAGAAAAAGCCTGTCTTTGGCACTGGCAATTAAACGTGGTCAGAACGATTCAGGCACCCAAAGGATCAAAGAGCATCCCTGTTTCTTGCTCTAGTTGGCCTGACACAAGAAGCTGTTGGCTGGGAGGGTATTCAGGCACTTCCCAGCGCAAGAGATGCAAGTAGTTCAGTAGTCCCCCGAGAACAAAACGGCAATCCTCGTAGCTGAGGAGTGTTCCAGACAGGACTATGCGCAACCTTAGCTGTGAGTCCTTTGCCATGGAGATCGGCCCTGTTCCGGAGCAGCGGCAGGGCAGGAGGCCTAGAGCCCTGAGGCCAGCTTGGTGGAAGCAGGGAGGGGAGGAAAAATGTCTTGTGTGATGTCTTGTTTTGTCTTGTGCTTAATATGAATAAACAATGACTGTATGCATGGTGAAACCAAAGCAAGGAATTCAAAACTGACCAGACTGCTCTGCATATATATATTTAATTCAGGATTTTCTCCGAAATATACCTGACAGTGTTCTATCCTCAGGCCAGCTTGGTGGAAGCAGGGAGGGGAGGAAAAATGTCTTGTGTGATGTCTTGTTTTGTCTTGTGCTTAATATGAATAAACAATGACTGTATGCATGGTGAAACCAAAGCAAGGAATTCAAAACTGACCAGACTGCTCTGCATATATATATTTAATTCAGGATTTTCTCCGAAATATACCTGACAGTGTTCTATCCTCAGACATGCACGGACTTTGGATGGAAGCTGTGGACACGGAAAATCGGGCACATAAGATTGAAGCTATCAAAAGGTTCGTAAAAGCCTTTGTAAAAGCTGCTTTTGGTGGGAGAAGGGGGAGCATGCAGCCCTAGGCATAGACTTCATCTTCTGAGACACCCCTGGCAATGCTCCAGGCCACAGTAGAGCTGTGGCTGATTGCCAGCGTCACTGGTCAGGACATTTTTCTGTCAATGGTCTTGTATGAGCATTGTTAACATTTCTGACCCCCCAAAATGTCATTAGAAGATTCTTTTCTGATGACCAGTTCAAAGTGCCAGAACCAGCAGCCTGAAAAAGCACAATAATTCAGCCACCAGGAGTACATCAAATGTCGGTGGAATTAGACTCTGAACAGCAGTAACTTTTTTCTTAAGTGCACAAAGCGAAGCCGATCATTGTATGGGCAGTTAGAAGTAGCCCTCCCAAGATGGGGACTGGCACCTTGAAAATGCCATTGCTGCCCTGAAACTGCTGCCCCGAGCCAGAACAGTCTATCGGCATCCTGTGGGACACACAGTACGTCAAACCTCTTCTTGGCAATGGCTCAGCTCAGTTTTTGAACCTTAGCTTTTGGCCTGGGCCTCCTTCCCCCATCGTCTCTATGGCATGGACACAGGCAGTGGCATCGTCTCGTGTGCTGCTGGCCTGAAGCTGTCTGCATCTCCTTTGGGAAATCGTTGTTTTGTTGAGGCATTATGGACTTCTGCCCACATGTTCTGGACCCAAGTCCCTTGGTCTCTGTGACCAGAGCGGGTAGGCAATATGGATGTCAGGCTGTGGCTCTCACGTAATTTGGAGTGAAGCAGTCTCACTTTACTGTCAGATGTGAATGTCTCAAACTGGTTGCAGAAGGGGGCAAAAGCTTTGGGAAGCAACTTCTGACATTTGAAGAGCAGATTTCTGTGAACAGCACCATTTTCCTTTCTTCCCTCTCCCTGAATAGTCTAGTCAACCAGCTTCCGGAGGCCAACCTCATCTTACTCAGACACCTCTTTGGAGTCCTCCATCATATTGAGCAGAATTCTGGCGTGAATCAGATGAATGCCTTTAACCTGGCTCTTTGCATAGCACCCAATATGCTGTGGCTGCCAAGTCCCACTGGGCCAGAGGAGGAGAGCAGGTCTACAAAGAAGGTAATCATCTTTCACGGGTTGGGATCAGTGACAGTGCTGGCTGAGTGGCATCCGGGCTTCATCCTTTCCCCTGTGCACCTGTGCCTGTGCTGGCGGGGGAATTTAGCCACTCCGTCTATCCAGGGGGGAAAGGGAAGTGGGGTTGCTTTGCCAGATGAACTTCCTGCATGGTCAGGCAAGCACAGGAAAGACGGAGCAGCTGACGTTAGATGCTGCCACTTCAGCTGGGTCCAAAGCCATCCTGCAAAGTAAGCAATGGACATGACCCTGCATCGGAGGGGAAGTGTGCTTGCTTCTAGCTTTTGAGGTATTATCAATAGTAAGGAAAGTGTAGAGTGTGCCATACCCGGCTCGCTGTGCCAGTTCATGTAGCTCACATTCCTGCCCCGGGTGTAGCTCATACGGGCACATTGCAAGGGTCTTAACAGCTTCGTGAGCAAAAGGTTCTGTAGGAAATGACATCTTTGTCAAGGGAGAAGGAACATTCTGGGACTGATCTGACTTGCTTTATACAGCTGGCTGTATTTTCATGGAACTGACTCTGTAAATTCATCTTTGCCAGGTGGCCTTGTTAGTGCAGTTCCTGATTGAAAACTCAGGAGAGATTTTTGGAGGTGACATTGCGTCCTTATTTCAAAGACCAGACAAAAAGAAGTCCAAAACCTCAGAGGAATCTCTGGGTAAGTTGGTGGTACTCTGTCTTCCAGAAATTTTTCAAGTCTTGTAATAGGTAAATTCCTCATGCAAAAGATTTTGCTTGCCCTTCACGTCTCTTCCAAGGAAAAGCACGGAGAAGCAGTTGGGTTTGGTTTTCCCTTTGCCTGTCGGGCATAGGCAGGAAGCGAGGGCAAAGCAGAGGGCTGGGGTGCTTCACCCCAAATGTGTCCCTGAGGACAGTTGTCCTTCTCTGTGATTGCTGTTCAGCCCATTCCAGCCATCACAAGATTTTAGGGTAGCCTAAGCAATGCAATGTCCCGGCAGTCTTTTCTTCCAGATTAGTTCTGTAAAGCTAAACCAAATGGTTGAATGGGAGGAGATGCAGTTGTCTCAGTTATCTGTCCTATGAACACAGGCCAGTGGTGACAGCTCAGGTCAGCAAGGCAGGATTTTTGATATTGTTCCCAGTCCTGCTCTGGTCCCTGTGAAACTAACGGCTCGTCTTTGCTTTTCCATGGACTTGATAATATTTCTCTGCGTTGGTTGTAAGGTACTACATGGGGTTAGGAGACAGAGGCAACAAACTGATTTGTACTCTCTGTCCCAGGCATAGGCTTGGCTCAGCATGATGATTCCTCTGATGAGCTGGAATTTTCTCCTTGTGACCCAGAAGGACCAAAGCACAACCTGGTACCTGAAACAGATGCCATTTTTGAACCATCCAGCAGCTTGTTACTTGACGAGGATCAGGAAGACTGGGACTTATTCAGCGAGATCACAGCCTGCTACCAAAGCAAAGCCGGGAAGAACACCAGTGCAGACAGCTACGACCTCCTGGAAGAGGAGGGCTCCTTCTGCTCCATCGGCTCGATACGCTCTCTCAGCCCGGCCAGGGACCGGTGCTCATCAGAGCCCAGCGTCTGCCTCAGCTCCCAGCTTCCCGCCCAGAGCCATGAGCCGGTGGCCCGCCAGTCCAGCTGCGATGCCACCATCATGCACAGCCATACGGACTACATCCACAGGCTCAAGCAGCTGCAGGTGGAGAGCCAGAAGCTGATTGATGAAGGCCTCGGCCCCGGGGGTAATAAGGCCAAGCAGAACTTGTGGCAGTCACCTCAGACCAGCTCCAGGGTGAAGCAGCTCAGCCTTCAGAAATCCAGCGCGTCCAACAGGTCCAGCTTCTCTAGCCTGTCCTCTACCACCACCTCCCCATCTGCCTCCTCACTCAGCTCCTTAGACAGTGCTTTCTCCTACTGCTCAGAGTCATCAGCCATTAGCCCCACAGATGTCTCATCCTTGCCGTTCATGTTCGGCACCTCTGCCAGGCTTCATGCTGTGTCCCCCAATGTTGCCAAGAGGTCCTCGAAGGAGTGGCACAAGTCCTTCACGTCTCCTGTGCCTTTACATCCTTGTGGCCTGGACAGTTGCCATGAGCATGAACCCAAGGCTGCAGAGAGCAGTCATTGCTTTGGAGAGAAGAAAAGTTTTCCATCTGCCAGCGGAGCTGCTGTGGAAAGCCCACTGACTGACATTGACTGGGAAGAAGAGGAGAGACAGCAGAGTTGTGCAGGGGGCCCTGGCCCAGGGCTCAGGAGCCAGGATTATACCAAAGAGTTTGAACAGAGCCCTGAGCTCCCAGCTGCCAGCCCAAGTGGCGAGAAATCCCCACAGATCGGCCACCAGCAGCACAGGGAGACCGTGGCGAAGAACATAGAAATCAAAAGCATTGATGCCTGCCCTCCAAGCCAGGAAAGCCTGAAGCGCACCAAGATAACTTTTTACGTGGCCCCAAATAACGAAAGCTCTTGGGGGTCTCCGGTGGAGGAGGAAGGGGAGCGCTCCAGGGCAAACACCAGCAGCAGCAGTGAGCAAAGCCTGTGCAAGAGCTTGCAGGCTGTGAGCGTCCATATCCCCCAGACAGTGTTCTATGGGCAGAATACCCCCCTTGTCCTGCAGTCCAACTCCAGGCGCTACCACCATGACCCAATGCTCCCGCCCCTGCAGGCAGAGCACAAAGGGAGCCCCCAAAGTGCCCCTGCTCCCGTGGAGCTGGAGAGCAAGCCAGCGGAAAGGGCGCAGGCACCAACCCCAAGCAAGGGCTTCAACACGTTCAGCCACACCATCCGCATCATCCTCCCTGCTTCCATTCGAAACACTGTCAGGGACTATTTCAAGCACGATGAGACCAAGACCTGTCCCATGGCTGAGGCGGCAGCGGTGGAGAATGAACTCCTTCGGAGCAGAGCGGAGTGGCTCAGGAGCCAGCCACGGGCCGAGGTGGCCGCAGAGGAGCGTGATGCCGTGGCCTTTGCAAAAGAGACGTTTGTCTAGGGCAATGGAGGTGGAAGAACTGAGTACTTTTTGTGTATGATGTGCAGCAGAAAATATTCTGTAAGATATGACCAGGGTGTGAAGAATCTATCAGGCTGCATGGGGCAGTAAGTGTAAAGTGACACTGATTTGTATGCAAAAAAAGTCTAGCGGGCTGAATGCCACCAGCCCCTCCCTGTCCCTGAATTAGCTGACCTGTACAGGGTCTGACTCCATTTCTTTTTAAAGCAGGGAAGGAGAAGCTCTGGTTTATTTTCTCCAGTCAGCTACTGATGTGTGTGGCTGACCGGAGAAGCGGGACAGCTAATGCTCCATCACAATTAGCTAACAAATCTTTGCGCTTGCACAAAATCCTCCACTATTCACTGTTAATCACCACCACTCATCCAAAGGGAGACCTTCTGCCTCTCCGTCCTAGAAATCACTGCTGCCTCTCTCCACTCATCGTCCCGCTGGTCTCGCTCACTGTCTGCGTTCCTTACTGCTGGAGGCTGGGTTCTAGGAACACCAGTGGAGTCCAGCACCCAAAGCCCAGCTTTCACTGACAGACAGCATATGTAACATTTTAACCACAAAATTGCTTCCCCCACCCCCCACCCCTGCAGTTAATTGTGCATTGATTCTCTCATCTCATACTTCCCCCCAAGCCAGCGTTTGACAGAACCACAGTTACCATACAGGGTTTTAGCACTGTCATTTTGGCAGGGCTATAACTATTTGTCTCCTCTAGTGTCCTCTGGGAGTAGCTGGTCCTTTTAGTCCTAGTAAAAGGTGACGTCCTATTTCTGTAAGTGATGGTGACAGTTCAGAAGGCCCTTCCCAGAGGCAGTGTGGAGGGGGCAACTAACCTAATTCCTAGTCGTACTGAGAGGGACTTAAGCAGGATTTGGCTGTAGCATGAGGTCAAGGAGTTGTGGAAGTTGTCAAGAATGCTGTCGAGCGGGTGCAGAAGCAAAGCCCCATCTGGCCAGAAGGGTGTCAGACAGCCCGTCGGCTGAGGCTCGCCAGGCTTCGACAGCGCTGGTGCTGTCGCGGAGGAGCAGCGAGTTCCCGCTCAGCACAGTGCGTGGCCCCGCGTGCTCCAGCAGGATGGAGGTTGGGGGGGTGCCAGGCGGGGATGCGCCGAGCAGGCTGCGTGCCTCGCACCACTGAAGAACGCAGCCAGTGGGCGCGCGGCGCATCCCCGCCACGCCACTCAAAGCCATGCTCAGAAGCACCGTAGCCATAACGGGACTTGCTTGGAGGGGTGCGATGCCACCAGCTGAGCTCTAAAAGCAGCTGAGAGCACCACATTACTTTGACAGGCGTTAAGAAAACGATGGGGAAAGTCTCAAAGGTTCGGGATGGTTCATTTGAAAGTTATGTGAGAGGTTCCTAAGGTGGTTTCTCTCAGGGAGAGACACTCTCCTCCTACTCGATTAATAGTGAGTGGGTGAAGGATGAGAGACATGCACAAATCCCACCGATTGAAAGGGAGTCCCTGCGGAGTAAGTGCCCCCTGCAAGCTGCTGCGTGGCCACTAATAGCTGCTAATATGGTAATAACCTGCCGCAGTTCAGTCCTTGCACAGAAGGGGAAGCCACCTCTGTAAAGTGATGTAGCAGGTATCAGATGCCCCCACTCACCTGCCAGGTGCCTGTGACAGTGCCGGGACGCTGGCCCAGCACTCCAAATTCACACCAGCAAATACTGGGGTACAGGAGAGCGGGGGAAGCCCAGCGCCCACTTCCCAAGGTGTATAGAGTTTGATTTGATATATGCAGGGTGTTTAATTCTCAGATGTGGCCCTCTGTGTCCCAGAGCACCCTGGTGGCCCCTGGATGACAAAAGGTGTATATAATTGCAGTACAACACCACGCCAGCCCCCGCCATCGTTGCCCTCACACGTCAACACTGACAAGGCATTCACAATCTTTTTTCCAGAGCTACAGTTGTAACTATGTCAATAAAAGCCACACCAGTTTGTTTGTCTTTGTCGTGCAGTGGGCGCCTGTGTTCCTTTGCCCTGACTTCCCTCTCTTCTGCGCCTGGGGGTGGTGGGTGCAAAACACCGAACCGCGCCACGAGCCGCACGTGTGTCCCGCCCCAGATCTGCAGGGCTGGCCGTGCTGCCGAGGAGCCCTCCGCCAGCAAACCAGCTCGGCATTACTCTTATTTGTGTCTTTTCAGGAAGATGAAACAGCACTAAATATTACGAGGAAAGTCTGTCTGTACTTGGAAGAGAGATGATTCTGTGTTCTAAATACGCTAATGGATTGTAAACTGGCCCAGTGGCCGGGCAGACTCAGTTCAAGCAAGGGGGACCTGGACCAAATGCAGAGTAAGAGCTCACGATTTGCGTCACCTACAAGAATTACGAGCAAGTGAGATTTGTTTATAGAAAGACTGAGGGAGGCAGGGCAAAGCACATTTTCCTCTTCTCATCTTAGGCTGCCTAATATGGGCGCATTTCCCTGGGTGCTTGCTCTAACCCAGCTCTCTATTAATGAATTTGCTTCATTTAAACCAAAATAAAATCCTCCAAAACCTATCAGAAAAGACAGCACAAACCACTGGTCCCTTTAGGATTGTATGGCTGCACGGCAGAGGCCGGGTGCTACTCATGGCAGAGGGAGCCTTGGCTCCCCGGAGGGCACAGGGACCTTGCGAACCTGCTGTGTTCGCCTATGCCGGAGCGTGGGACCCTGCAGCATGCCTTTCCATCGGCCCAGGCAAGAATGCAATTCCGAGAGTCCAGCTTGCTGGAGACCAAGGTGCTCCTCACATTTTGGCACCCAATCCTACATCCGTTCAGTTAGCAGAATTGTTCCACTTTCTTCCCAGGCCTTCAAAATACAAGCAGCAAATTAGAGATGTCCTAGGGATAGCGGACTGTGAAACCTGTGAGCTGTGCCACCATCCGTCATGCTCCAAGCATAGTTAAGGAACAGGTAAGTGCCCTAATGTAACGCCCCATCTCTAAACCCCCCCTCGGACTCCTGGCCATAGTCCCCACAGGGCTGTACCATAAGGACAAAAATGTCCGGAGCTCCTGGCTTCTGCTGAACAATCATGCCCAACCACTGCTTTTAATCCCAGGGAGCGTCGGGCCGCAAGTGTAAATTGCCCAAAATACAAATTCTGACTTAATTCTTGTGAGAGCACCCTGCTTCCCTGTCAGCCCCTGGCAGGAGACGCCCAGGTCACCGTGCCACCCGGGGCTGTGGTTCACCCGCACGCCCCCAGCAGCTGCGGCCCTGCTGTCACCGCGCCCC